CGAGCCAATGGCGCGTATCGGAGTACGTACTCCGCGTTCGAAATTTGAATGTTCGACAGACAGTGTTGTGCTGTGTGCACGGTTCCGCACGTGAACGGTTCGAAAGGCGTAACAGCGTTATCGTATTGACCAATCGATTGGTCACTCGTTCGGAACTGGGCGGAGTCGCGTTATCGCCGACCGATGATTTGACTGATAATGTTCGATTGTGCTGCGTCAAAGTCATTGTTTGAAAGCGAGACGAGCGTATCGTAAATCTGATCGACGACTCGTGAATACTTCGATTCTAACTTTGAAATATCGAGAATCTGTACCATGTTTTTGATTAATGAATCGCATTCTATAACTAGGGGGTTGAAATTTTCACCCTTTAAACAGAGATTTCAAAGACATATTTCTAGTTACAGTTAGGGGAATCCGACAGAAGGATGTTTCGATATTGATTAATAAATTACGAATTCCCGTTGAGTTACTTCCAAAGATGAAAGCGGCTGAATTAATCAATGGATTATAATATTTTCATATAAAAACGGCGAGCAGATAAACCTGTTTAATGTTGATACATATGTTTTAATTTCAGTAAAATTTCCCTTTTTTGATCTAATAAATATATGCAAATTATAACAGTTAATTAATTCAAAAACCTGTAATAAACTAGGGCGGGCCCACATCGGTTCGGTACATAAAATATTCAGTGTGTTACACAGCCTTAACTGAAGGCTTTTGGGCAAGACAAAGATGCTTTTAAGCTTTCGCGTGGAACATGGACGCCTCGGAGACGATTATTTCCTTATTCCTATGACGAAATTCATTTTCATCGTCAACAAAAAAAAAGGAATGCATACAAAATTAATTGTCTCGAACGAATGCTAACGAAAATGATCGTTAACAATGTACCTAAATGTCTTGAAGAATTCATTAATTGCATAATCAAATTACCGAGCCTAATCTAATTATTAGAGGCGTCAATGACCTTTGTATACAACGGAGGCGGCCTAGAAACACTTGATAGACAGTACCGTCCTCGTACGATTAGTAGCAGTATTACCCAGTGAATTGAAATTTAAAGTTAATAGAATAACATCAGCAACACAAACACATAATAATTACACTTACACATAAAAAGAAACGCACACACAGCAAGTAAAATATTTATCATTATTTCCCCTTGGCTTTTTCATAAACCTCTCACCGCTGCGTTGGTGGCGATCAAACGCACGCATATTATAAAAGTTATGGACAAACAAGGGCTCCACGGCCGCCGCTGCTCGGCGTGCTATTAAAACTCTAAGCTATCATAGACGTTCACCCACTTCCCCGTTCGCGTAAAACATAACTATGTCACGGAGTTACCAGTACGTACTCGGCACTCGCGTTTATAACGTATTTATTCGGGAACATCGTAAAAGTCGAAAACATAAAAGTTCCGACACAACGTTCGCGAACTAAGCGCAGCACTACGCGTGATTGGCGCGAAACAAAACACGGAGGTTATTTTGTGGTGACCAATAATTGAGGTTGTGTTCCATAAACAAAAAGACTTTAACTGTGACAAAACTAGTTGTTTTGATTCAAAAACTGAACTGCAAAAACCGATTTTGATAAAATGTGATATTACTATGAGACTAATCTGTAAGTATGTTCTTTTAGATAAAAAAAAAAGAATTATTCAAATAAATTTACAACTAACAAAGTTATGAGGTAACAAACAAAGAAAAATACAACCAAATTGAGAGAAGATAAAAAGAGAGATAAAGATAAAATTAGAAAAAGAGAGATGCTTCCGTTTTTTTAAGTTGGTTGAAAACAAATCTTATTAATGTAATACATTTGTAAATAGACAATGGCTGTACATGGAAGATGTGTAAGAAATATTAATATAAAAGTTCATAACAAGAGCAATAGATGCTAAAACAATATTTTTTTTATATCTTTCTGGACATTTGTTCCGACATTACGTAAAAAGTAGTGAATCAAATGTGAATGTGAATAAATATGTGAATCAACGTAATTCCCAATTTTGTTATACGACAATATATTTAACAAACAGTTATTAACAACCCTACTCTATTAATTAGAAAAAAAAAATCAAATTTCAATATTTCTAAAGACTCATAACTCCTAAAATTTAACTGAAGCTAGTGAAGTTCCTATGTACATATTTTATAAACGACATAATAGACAATAACTATTAGTTCCTTCAACATGAAATCCAAGAACTCTTGAAATCTAACGACGCAAGTTCACTCCTCGCCTATCAAATAATAAGTATCACCTGGAGAATTAACTAAGCATCTACCTAGATGTACAGTTCATACAAAATGTTCTCAGTTAAACAAATGAACAACTTAGCTTATCCGGCCGAGTGCCGAAGTGGCCCGCGCTCGTACAGGTGGCGTTATAACTGCAACTCCCCGATCCGGTCGTATTGTACCGATCAACGATATAATTGGCGATATATTAAATCGTAATTAAGGTGCAACCCTATTGTCGGAGGTGTGAAAATCTCGAGCTCCATTCGATGTTCGACCAGTCGGCCGATTGATCGTTAACAACGAACTACAAATCGGTCGAACGATCCGAGAACTGCTTGTGCGGAGACTGGTCTGGGAATATATTCAGTTCTGTTGAGCAAATAGTTTTAATTACAGTTGATTGTTCATTACTATTACTGTTGAATGAATCGATACGGACATTAGAAATGCAAGTGCTGGTGAAATTCAACCTGTAAGTTTTCTCTAGTCATCTTCATAATAACCCATTAGGTCCCGCTCGAGTATCTCTTTATAAAAAACTAGCTGCTCCATCCCCGGATCCACACAGTTTGTTTTTCCTATGTTCATCGTATCAGCCTTTAACTGTCCACTGCTGAACATAAGCCTCCCGCTTGGGGGATCTTTGCCAGTAGATTGCTATGCTTGGCAGGTGGATTGGCAACCGCAGTTAGGCTTTGGAGATGTTTTAAAAGGGGCACAGCTGCCCATCCTTCGCCCTCCTTTAGTCGCCTCTTACGACACTCATGGAAAAGGAAGTGTGTGGCCCATTCCATGCCGGAACTACACGGCGAGTAGCCTATTTTACTCCATAAGAACGTAACTTTCTATAGGTGAAAGAATTTTTAAAATCCCTCAAGTTACTTTTGAGTTTATTCATTACGAACGAACGTACAAAAATAATTTCTCTTTATAATATTAGTTTGGAATAAGAGAAAGCCTACTGTTATTATGTTGACCAAGTGGCTTTATATTGTTTTATTTTGAGTTTTCCTTGACCTTCCCTTACATTGTTTGCTGGGGGTTCATTCCAAAGTTTCGGAAACTTGAAAGGTTTACCTTGGGTTAGATCAGTCACGTGAAACCACAAAATGACCGGTTTTGTTTAGGATGTTAGTATCAACTAGCTTTTACCCGCGACTTCGTCCGTGTGACCGGGATATGTTCGGGGACAAAAAGTAATCTATATGTCCTTCTTCTATCCATCCCAAGTAGTAAATGCATATCGCTTATGAATTCATGAATTATGTGCTTGTATTGGTGAAAAAATAATATCTTATTTATCTATCATATCAAATTTCATGCCGATTGATTGAGCTGTTAAGGTACCAAAAGGTAACAAATTAACAAACGTACTTTCAAATTTATAATATTAGTAAAGTTTCAGAGCAGCTCAATTTAATCTATCTCAAAATTTCAAGTTCTAAGCACTCAAGTTATTTGCTTGAGTCTCCTGAAGTCTTGAAACCTCTGTCCCATTCGTGTTTCTACCGTGAAGCAGTTGTGTTTACATGGCTGTATTTCAGTTTGATAGTTGTATAGGCGAAACAGTATACTCTGTTATGTCCATGGTGCTGCTCATGTCTATAGGCGACGGTTACCACTTTCCATCAGGTGGGCCGTCAGCTTGTTTGCCATTCTTAGTTGTATAAAAAAATCTCATAATAGGTACGCTAGTTGCCTCTTAGGACATTCTACAAATGAAAGAGCGTTGATATGTTATATTCCGATCACGCCACATATCATATCAGCTGCTGAACATAGGCCTCCCCCTTGGGGGACTTTCCCAGTATTTGTCTCGCTTGGCAGGCGGGTTCGCAACTTTAGGCTCTAGTGATGTTTTAAAAGTGACGCTGCTGCTCATCCCTCGATCTTTAAAATCCCTTAGTCGCCTCTTACGCTACCCATGGAAAAGGAAGGTGCCCTTTCTATGCCGAAACCACACAGTTAGAAAAAAAAATCTATACAAACACAAAAATCTTATTTATGTAGTTATTTTTCGGTTCGCCCAATGGTTGACTGGTAGAGAACACCGTCCGGTGTTAAGTCCGCCAAATGTACATAGAATTTCACTGCGCATTAAAGTTTAAAGAAATAAATAAAAAAGCAATCGAATCGACTTTACCTAATCAAGATCGGCAAAATACGACATCGAAGCACGTTGATACACCATTATTAGTGCTACTATGCGCCTTATCTCGCAACAGCCCAAGGAACCCCTCAAAGGGTTCAATCTTAATAAATTTATGAAAGGAATATTGCCAATAAGGGCACCGGCATATCCTATTAATTAAAATACTTAATTAATTCACCTGGAATGGTTTTAATCAATTCACTTTCGCTCAATTTATTAAGGTATACCGAAGGTGACCCGGCCTTGATTATGTCGCATTTTCTATTGCGAACACCCTATTTTATGGTTTAAATGTACCTTACATTACAATTGCCTGATCGGCGAAATATGATAATGGAGTTGCCATCCCAAATGAATGAATGGCGATCTAATTTTTATCGATCCTGCTACAAATGTGATATACTGATTTGAGACTATATATTACAACTCCTTTTCTTTACCAGGATGATGATGATACACTATCTCCACCAAAACGTACTGCCGTTTGGGAGACCAAAAATGTTCTATCAAGCTTATTGACACTAATGATTAGATGATGCATGTTGGAGCTTCATAACGCCGCCATATAGTAATGTTATTTCTATTTGTTACAGCATGCTCCGGTCCCTGGACCTGGGACCAAGCGAGCGATCATTAGAGCGCAAGCCTGAACCGCTGCGCTCGCCGCCAGCGCCACCACACGAGCGCAGCTCAGCGGAGCGCGAACGGAGCACCGAGCGCCGAGACGTGACAGGTACGTCACACGATTGTTCTAACTTGACCCGAGCAGCTTGACCTTAACACACATATACACAAACAGAATATAAATGTGCTCTAAATAGTCGGCCGCTCAATAAAATTGGACGCCGTCAACCGGTCAAGTTATAGTAATCCATCGGTGAACCGACAACTCGGCAGCACGTTGCCGAGTCGACGTTCCAGCCGTGTATCGATATGTCGTCGTTCCCGATCGATCGCGTCATTCGATGTAACCCTGTGTATGTCCGTAGCTAGTTCGTGTTCGCTTCACTTTTCTATGTCCGACGCGCGGAGTACGAGGAATCCAGTTCCCACCACCTCTGCCATGCCGCTCACGGACGCGCGTAATCGTTCCAAACGTAGGCTTTAGAATTCGGAGCATGCAAACATGAGAGACGCCGCGTACGCATTAAACATTCGTACACCGTTGCCGAATGGTTGCGACGCTTACGAGCGTGCGTGAAACCCTGTCCCCCGGCCCCCGCTTCTCCTCCCCGAGCCCTCGCTCCTCGTGTTCCCGCGTAACCGTACTCTCACTGCAGGTGCGGAAGAGTGGCCGAGCACGCCGCCTCCCCTCAACAACAACACCACCCACCATAACAACAACGGGCCGACGCCGCTGCCGCTGCCACCGCCGAGCCCGTTCCGTTTCGAGGAACATCGGCCGTACAGGTTCGCGGAGGACATGGGCCCGCTCCCGCCCGGCGCGCTCGTCGGACGCCTGGGCGACTCCCTAATACCGAAGGGTGACCCGATGGAAGCGAGACTACAGGAGATGCTCCGATATAATATGGACAAGTACGCGAATACAAACTTGGACACGCTACACATCAGTCGGCGAGTGCGAGAGTTGCTGTCAGTCCATAACATAGGGCAGAGACTATTCGCAAAGTATGTGCTTGGGCTATCGCAAGGAACGGTATCGGAGCTGCTCTCAAAACCGAAACCCTGGGACAAGCTGACGGAGAAAGGGCGGGACTCGTACAGGAAAATGCACGCGTGGGCGTGCGACGAGGCCGCCGTGATGCTACTCAAGTCGCTCATTCCTAAAAAAGGTATACTATCTAAATATTGCAGTTGTTCGTTTGTTTCTAACCAGGCCAGACATGTTTGTTGTCTTAAAAAAACTTAATATCATAAAATTAACTCCTTAACAAACGGCTGGTTAGGAATAGACAACAACAGTTCCTCACTGTTTACTCTTTTGACCCTCAATTTTCAAAATTCAAAATTGGAACCACTTCGAATTTCAATCCAAATTCAATATTCGCAACTAGCTCGTGCCGAACGTATAATTATGACGAAATCCAACAACGGCGTATTTCGTCATAGATCAAATCCGCCCCTTCAGCTCAATCTTCCGAATGGTTTGGCGCGTTACCCGTTATCAGCGGTTGTCGAGTCTACCTGACAATAGGGCTCATCAATCACGGGAAGAATGCAGAGATATTAGAGATGTTTACTTTGGGGCCATTAACGTTATAAACAAGTTTCTGAACACTTATTAAATGGCTCCTACTCAGCGTTGTTCGATCATTACTCAATGATGATTCAATAACAGCTTGCTCATTTAGGAAACGCACTTTTTTAATGTTATTTTTTTTTATTTTTACCCATTGCGATGATCCCTACCCTTTATCCTGAACCTATCCTGTGTGTCCTAGCTCGAAAGATCAGTGTTTCCGCCCCGTTACATGAAAAGGGGGGTTAAAGTTGGGAGTGGGGTGCAGGGGACATGGTCAAGCGAGCGCGCTCCTCCGGGGCTTTCGTTCTGTTATTCCAATTTATCGTTTTAATACCAATTACTATTGTTTCATTCTTTTTATAAATTATAATGGAAGTTTAGTTTGTAATAACCTTATTTATTATATTCTGATTATCATGTTGGTGCGTATTTCTTTTTTTTTTTACTGTTTGTAAATATAACCATTTTGTTTTTCAATATTAAACTGATTTCTATAAGCAGTCGTACGCCCAATAATCTTCATTTGAATTTAAAAGCTTATAACTATATTGTGGTGTTATCTCATACATTCATCCAACATTATGTACAGTCGCCTGCATTAACATGCAAACACTTTTGTACGTTGTCACAATAACACTTTATTGGGGTAATATTTAAAAATGGAATCGTTAAAAACGTTACTGGTTGCAACAAAGCACGTACTTAAGTGTGTACATATAATTGCATGTGACTGTACCATAACAGTATTATAGAGTTGCAATTGGAAAACACGAAGATACATTACAAAGCGACAATGATAGTCGCCGCAATATATTATCTGCCCCCCAAGTAACAACGGGCAAGTGTTGTAACAATGAAAAGTAAGCGGACACGCATCTAGCGACGACTCGGCACAGTGCACCGCAAATGTACGAAACGACCTGTGACGTCACTAGGCATAGACTGAGCTGCTAAATAAAAATAGTGACGTTACGATCTCCTGTCAGAATTTGTACTTTTCATAAGAAACGACATGTGACGTCACTGTGCATAGCCTGGTTCTCGAGTTAAAAATGGCGACCTTGCGCTGTCCTGTCAGAATTTGTTGTTTTTATAGAAAAGACATGTGACGTCACAATGCATTACTAGGCCTTCGAAATAATCAAAATGGCGACGTTGCGATCTCCTGTCAGTATTAATATATTATTTTCTACTATGACGTTATTATTTAAAATCTTATATTCACATGAGAACTAACTACAGACAATCTACGTCAATACAATCTTTAAAAAATAAAAATAAATCTACTGGGCCCATAACTGTGCTCATAATCATATTATGGGCTGATTATGAATGATTTATGATTATGGCTCATATTATGAAACGTGTTTTCTAAACCTAACAATTAAATTCACTTATTAACAGCGAATTTTTAAAAAAATGTTCTGTCTGCAGTCATTAAGTCCTTCCTAACTCCAACTCTAAAATTAACGTATTGTATTTTGACAGACAGGTTTATAATATTTAATATATCACAAAATCGACCTTAAATATTATAGATTGTAGTTTACAATAAAATATTTTATTAAATATAAAAACTGTATATATAAAACCACAACACATGACAAGAGAACGCAATGTTGCAATACTTATTCAAATAGATCACTTATTATTTTAAATAAATAGGTACCAAAAAGGTATTTTACAGATAGCAATTTTCCTACTGTTTAATAATTATGTTTAATTTACTTTTTAACTTATTATTTTCCAGTTTACACTTTATCAAACCAGTCGTAATATTCTTTATTTAAAAATGGCGCCAAAATACACGAAGATTAACAATGAATTAATACCAAAAACAATATTTCTATCATATTCGAAATTCAAAATTTAAACTTCTAGTACACGTAATACGAACGTAAAGGGACAATTCGAGAATTAAAAAGAACGCTCTCATTGTAAAGCGATGTACACATTAATGACAATGCAGGACAAAGTATAAATCTGCGGAAGACAATAGACTGTCGTGTATTAGCTTTTGTCCGGAATGTCCCATCGATAGGGATGAGCTCAAATAGATTGAATTTCAGATAATACGGAAGGGTTCCGTTTTTCTTATTTCCCACGAAATTGTACCCCGTTCTGTTTATACGATTAGAATTCCTTTTGAATTTGTGTTCGCGTATCGTACGGCAGTTGAAAATTTTGTTAGTACTGTAGAATAAATGTAGATTAGACATATAGGAATGAAGCTGACATATATCAAATGTAGGTTTTATTGATTTCATTATCTCCAATAAGAAAGTTTAAAATATCAAGAGACTAAAATGTACTTACGTACGTAACATACATATATATGTTCACATGTATGCATATATGTGTATGTTAGTGTTATTTAGTGTATGTGTTAGTTAGTGTATGTAGTGTTACAAACGTCCATAGGCTACGGTAACCTCATTTACCATCAGACGGGCCGTATGCTTGTTTGTCACCATAGTAGTATAAAAAATGTGTTTACGTATCTCTGTTCCACTCGTGTATCCATCGTGAAGTATGTAAGTTTAAAGGGTGAGATGTAATAGTGAAATTACAGGGTGTACACCATTCTCTTCAAGAATGGCAATGAATTAAGGGTTCCCATGGGCATCAAAGTGATATTTAATGTCCAAAGTATTGTATATATTGTGTCTATAAGCGACGGTTACCATTTCCCAACAAGTGGGCCGTCAGCTTGTTTACCATTCTAAGTATTATAAAAAAAAATATAGATACTAGAGACAATATAGAAGAGTAGATAGTAGCGATCAGTGTCCACGTAATGATACCAGTCGGTCACGCTACCAACCAATAATCAACTACGCGGCCATACCGTGGGAATAGGAACTTATTACCACGATAATTGAGACGTTTACTGCTATCGGATCAATTGAAATTAAACGACACATCGCTCGCATTGTCAATTAAAAAAAAAATACGTGCGTGTTACGCATTATGACAGATGTCAATTTTGACATGTCGATTTCCAAATCTCAGTTATAACACATGTATTCTGCGGCCTTGCTTTATGTAGAAAGATATTATGAGCAAACCCAAATTTTAAATTAGAAATAAACTTTTTTTTATACCACTGAGGTTGCAATCAAGCATACAGCCTACCTGATGGTAAGTGGTTACCGTAGCTTATTAACGCCTGTAATAGCAAGGGTATTACGCGCGCGTTGCCAACCCTGAAGAAACCTCTTTGTCCCCTTATTGAAGAACCCCATGCTGTAGTTTCTTGGGAAAACCTTGACAGGAAAACTTGCTGTCCACCTCGTGGAAAGAAGCGACCCTCGCTAATAGACATAAAATATTTCTAACAAATTATGTATATTGAATCAGAGGTAACTTATAAATTATTAGTCTTCGAATCCATATTAAATAGATTCTTAGTCAACTAACTGCTAGCCTATTTAATTTACTAATTATTAAATTTATGTAAAACCCTATAAATATAATTAATATAGATGCGAAATTTGAACATGATTAAAAAAATATTTAAAAATAAATAATTGATCTCTTCAACGTGCTGTATAGACGATTTTCATAGAAATCGACATAAAGATATTATTGATTGTAAAAAATTAAGGATATTTTAATAGACGGTAACAAATTAAACAGTCTTGTTTTTTATGTTAAAATTAATTTAATTGAAAGCTTTAATTGCGTCATAAAATCGCTGTTTCGTTAACGTATTTGAAGAAACACGCGAATGGTGTACATGCCTTATAGTTTTTGCGCCATATCATATCTCTTGTCCCGTATATGGGCGGGAAAATATCCTATTAGGTCGTAACGTCAATACCTCGCAGGTGGAAAGGTGACAGCCACTGTATAATGCTTTCCAATTTACGAGCGTTTAACCGCATAAACACTGCTTTCACTATTCAATGACGTTTCGTCACGCGCAGAAATTCCCGTGTCAAAATAATGTCATTTTTTTGCCATCCATGTGTACTATTCTTAATCTATACTATCTGTCCTGTGCAATGTATCTTTTTTTTCTTAAAATAGTGTTGTAAATGATTCCGATATAAATACTTTTGGGTATTTATGGATACTAAATATATGCTTAAATTAATAACAAATACACAGATCGAGTCCCTACGAATACTTCATCAAGTACAGCGTAACTTAAAAAGAAAAGTAACGCACGATTATGGCTGTATTAATTTTGTTATTCAAAACTTATATCAACAAATCATCATTTTATTTGTTTTTATTTATAATACAAGTATTATGAATACAATACTTTCACACTTTTCTACCAACACCGTGATAAAAATTGTTTGTTAGCTGAATTTTTAGGACGTTTTTTGTTACTTGATACTACATCTACATGTATGTTCTAATGTGATTTAAACTTATGGCATAAGCAATAAGTGGTACTCAACTACTTGTTACAACAGTTACAGTAAGTACCTAGCTATGTCCTAAGCTTGACTCCTATACAATCAACAACATGTCATTTCGCGTTGTTATGGCTTCGTATTTCCACGATTTCCCAGTTCCCACGATACATATACATAATGCATACGCTCGTCCTGTCCGTTCGTTGCGAAACTGTTGTTA